ATTTCTGCTGTGCACACATTGGGCTGTCTGAGGGAAGAACTGCATGGTTGGTTGCAGTATTATGCCGTAATGCACATTCAAAACTATGTATGCTTATGAATTAGGTATGGACATGAAGCTAGCCTCATCCCAGTTCAACCCTAGCTTCAAACCTAACCCTAGCTTCATGTCCACACCACGGCTCAACCCTTACCCTAACCGTAACCATAACCCTAACCCTAGTCTAGATCTTATGGTTAGGGTAACTGTCCAATCAGCACCATCTATTGCAATGAAGAACCACACATCCAATCTGTTGGATGACAGGTCCATTGTATGTTGCGAGGCCATTTCAATAGTGTAATTTTGTATTCAAGGTCTACAATATAACATTGTGGCCCGCGTCATGTAACCAATCATTGTCAAGAGGGTTTGTTAGCGACAGTTACGTAATGGACAACTGAATAATCATTTTGGATGTAACCAGTTCTCAAGGATGTGTCCTCCAGTAGAAGAATCATTACATTTACATTTTAGTCATTTAGCAGACGCTCTTATCCAGAGCGACTTACAGTTAGTGATTGCATACATAATTTTTTTCATTTTTCATACTGCCCCCCGTGGGAATCAAACCCACAACCCTGGCGTTGCAAACGCCATGCTCTACCAACTGAGCTTCATCCCTGCCGGCCATTCCCTCCCCTACCCTGGACGACGCTGGGCCAATTGTGCGCTGCCCCATGGGTCTCCCGGTCGCGGCCGTCTACAACAGAGCCTGGATTCGAACCAGGATCTCTAGTGGCACAGCTAGCACTGCGATGCAGTGCCTTAGACCACAATCATACCACGCTGCTTTCTCTCCCTTATTACTTAAACTAACTCTCTGGTTCCTATTGCTGGTAATTACTTGAAAAATTGATTGTGAAGTTAAAAGACTAATAAAAGAGTAATTGATTAGCCTGCATTTTCATATGAAGTGATTAAAGTTAGCACATCAATTCACATTAAATGAATTTGTGCCCCAGAAACTATAGCAACAAGATAATTACGACTATGAATAGTCATTAGAATGGGGTAATTGACAATGGGTGTAGTTGCAGAAATGCAATTACAGTGAAGTGTAACCTCTCTTGCACGTCCGCTGGGGATTCCATGTGAAATGTAACGTGCCATGCTGTCCTTTAATGGGATTAATTTGATTAAGTACCTTGTTTAATTGAAGTGGGTGGGCAGAGGTGAGGGGGCAGCATGTTCCTAGGAGGAGTCATGCTATAATATACAGTTATAAAGATAATGTATTTCGTTTTGTATGTTCCAAAGGCTTTTAGTTCAGGAGAATATTCAAGCACCAACCTAATATTGGAACAATGGGTAAAATCTAACGTATCCTGTGTCTTTGTGCTGTTGTTGAAGAAACAGAAACATTCCAGTCCTATATGAGACAGGAAATATGGCAAATTTGAAATCCTGCCTCTGTTTGTGATACATTAAAACATCCATTCCTCATACAGCAAGATTACATCTGTGGGTCCCTACACTCTCATTCCATCCCTCTTAAAATCCCATGTCAAATGTGTGATATGAAACTTCAAATAATGTGGTTTTCTTATTGCACTTGGCCATTGTTTATTACCCTATGTTGGACATTGAAGCGTAAAGTCATTTCAGGACCTCTATCGCTCACACACACTTTATGCTCAGGGGGTCAGCATCAACAATACTTCACGGAGGGGTTTATTGAAACATAAAAGGAAAAAGTTGTATTCTAACTTCTCAACTTAAATGTTTTTTCAAGGGTATGTTAACAGACTTGTATTTTCAACTGCACGCTGTTCATTTGTTTCCACAGTTTAGATTATCTCACGCAGACTGACGATCTTCCAGGGGAATCCATGGACTGGCTTGATTGATTTGTCTTTATTGAGTGCATTTAATACAATAATTATTCTCAGAAAGTTACAACTACAAACTCTGACATACTCAGCACAATAAACACATTTGTAACTGTACAATGACACCCCCACACAAATGAAAAGATCCCTCCTGGTTGTGTCAAGTCTTATTTACAGTAGGTTGGATGAGTGTGTCTGTTCTCATGCTGCTATGTTGTGTCTTTCCAGTCTCAGTCCAGAGACATGGCTGGAGAAAAGAGCCACTGGTGAGATGTCTTTGAAAGTAGAAAGGGGCCGTTTCACAATTGTGTACTCGGAACATTATGGGAAAAGCTGTGTCTTGATCCAAGCAATCTACTTTTTTTGACGAGCTGAAAATATCACATTCCTCAAAATGTAGATAAATACTGATTTTGAAAACAGACCCCCAAAAAATCTGAGAAAAACCTTCTCACAACACGACAAAAACAGCAATATCCTTGGAAACAAGATAGTTTAAGTGGCAGGAGTATAGGACAGCAAGGGAGTGAAAGCTTGAGTTAGGGTTTGGGCTAGCAAGTTTCTTATCTGCTGGTGGATTACTTAAAGTGGCACAATTACAAGGGGAGGTGAAGTCAATGTGACATTTAAACAGTCTAGAAAGTCAGCAATACCACCATAAAGAATGTCCACTTAAATAAGGAATGAGTCCACTTATAGGAATCTCCAAGTTTGCCTCAATGAGTCTGGGAGTGTCTGCATTTGCTGTTGGACCTTGACTTTTAACGAGACTGTCTGAATTACAGAAAGGCACTTTAAATGCAGAACACAGATAAGAGACCTCACAATGTCAGACTACTTTCACATTCTGTGCAAGTTCTCCAACTTCTCCCAGCTTTCATCTTCTCTTGGTAAGAGAGCAAAATAACAACACTTTTTCCAATTCCACCAGTCTATTATCCGAGTCAGTGGAGTGAAGCTGAACACTAATGTCCAACAGCTACCAAATTGCTATTATAAAAAGGAAAACTTTAATAAGGACAGCAACTTTTTACATGTCCCAACAGATGTCTAATTTAGAAAGACCTAAAAGTCCATATTGACACTTTCTTCTTAATATGCCATTTAGCAGACGCTTTTATCCAAAGCGACATACAGTCATGTGTGCATACATTATTACGCATGGGTGGTCCCGGGGATCGAACCCACTACCCTGGCGTTACAAGTGCCATGCTCTACCAATTGAGCTACAGAGGATCACCTGCACTCAAGTCTCTGCTTGAGTGCAGGTGATACAGTACTCTCTGTATTATGATATACATTAGGTACTGTTGAGACATATTTGGCCAAAGTGTTTTTGTAACACTTAACCTGATGGGCCCTGACATACAGTACAGTCTGCTCTGGTCAATAATAACTATTTGCTGCCACCAATAACTGTAACTGTGAGGGGTTACCATGACACTGCTGAAGATAGCTCCTACTGTGATCGTAGATAGAGAGACAAAATTATTTGTAATGGAGATGGCAGTTACTCTGTACATACTGTAGCTTCACATGCTGTCTAAGGCCTGCTGAACAAATATGCACACAAATGAACAGTAGACACTTTTTCAAAGGTATTATGTTAGAAGGCTCCCACTTGTTACCCTGTAATCCGTCATATTTGAGCTGGGTAATGAATTTGATGCTTCAGTTCTAGCATCTGGGTCCCCAGGAGAACACAGCCATCCACTTCAAGCTATTAACCTGCACTGTTTCAACAGCCCCCATCATCACCACACACCATTATGAGCTGATCGCAAATAGATCATGTCTATCATTAGTAGATATCAACTTAATTAAAAAAGGAGAGGAAGCACAAGGCAATGAAATGTCAGAATCTGATAGGAGAATGACCTGTCTGCAATGGTCAGTATTCCCCCGACGTTTTGAACCTCATTCCTGCCGCTTAATTGCTTGGCGTGGGAGGAAGTCACCTGTGTTAATTAAAAGGTAGATTTACAAAGTCCATCCCTGTTACTTATCTGCCCACTCTCTCTGTCATAATAACAACCTTCACTGACTTACAACATGCTTTTGACACATTCTTTAACGTGCCTCGAGTGGCCCAGAGTCAACACAGCATGGTCAACACAACACGTCAAGCTGGGAAAGACGTTCTGTTGTCATGTTTGAAAAGCAACCGGAAATGGTAGGTAATGTTCTAGGGTAGTAGTGTGGTGAAAGCACAAAGCACTTGAGACTGTCAATACAACTTTAAGATTTCATATAACCTTCACTGTCCCTGTAACATTATGTATTTACCCTGGGTATTCGATGCACAACACTAGACACTTACTGACTCTAGCAGGTGTATGGGTTCAATGTCAATATGGTCTCTGAAAGTCTAAAACATTACAAAGAGATATCTTATATGTATATATAAACAGTGTATCCTTTATACAGAATCAGTCATGTCGGTCTTTACCCCATGGATCTGCCTCCTATTGAGAAGAACTTCCAAGTGCCTCCATAGAAAATAACCCTTCATGACTACAACAATCCTAAACTATTCAGGTGAAACTAGTTGTGTTGTTGCAAAAAATGCAAGCAGAAAAATAATATCCATATAGTATTTACAAATAATCTTCAATATGAAGATTCATTTAAATAAGAAGTCAATCTACTTGTTTTGATTTTAATATATTTTTTGTATATTTTTATTTTATTTGGGTGACTGTTTGATGCTGTTCTTTGGCTAAGTCATCCCATTGATCCTCATAAAGTAGCACAGGTTTCTTTATCTTTTATCTTTAGCACTTCAAGACCATCTGTCACGGCAAGCAAACAAACTCCCTTGCATTTCCGCTTGCTCTCTTCTTCAGCAAAAAAGAAGCCAACTTGATAGACTGCCGTAATTGAACCAGTGAAGTTGTTTTGAGGCAGAATCTTCCCTTCTATCCCTTTGTACCTTCAGTAGACTAGAGGGCAGGTGTCTTTCCCTCTGGTCTTGAGAAAGTGTGTGTTGGGGGTGTGAATGTTGTTGTTATGAATGTGCCACACAGTCATTCTTTAGATCAAGGTTAGTGTCTCCACCCTGGTGTATTTTTTGGGTCATCGGGATTTCTACTATGGGTTCCCTGGTGGTGGTGTTGGCGCCCCCTGTAGTCAGGCCATGGAGGTGGGCGACTGGGCCATCTGGTCCCTCATAGACTGGACACTGCTCAGGATCTTTTTCTGATGGCCGGCCAGGGTCACTCCTATCCTCAACAGGTCTCTGACAAACAGGAGGAACAGTGTCAACAACAAGGCTGAGAGATGGAGGTGTTCACAGTACAGTACCTGATGTCTGTGTGTTTGCTCTTGGATGGAATTATTGGGCTATGGATATTGTCATTGTACGTGTACTAATACATAGACAAACAATCACACCATGCACAAAGACAATGGTACAATATTTTGTCTGCTTGAGGCAGAGCAGAGAGATAAACATATAGGGATGGTTTCCAGCGCAGTAAACAATGTGCCAGATTCACTCCCTGCTAGAGATAAGCACAATATATTTTTACTGTTCCCATTCATATGGTAATACACTGTTCTACTTACAATGGTAAGCCCAGAATGGACACAATTGGTTGAGGACTGCTGGGAATTGTTGCTGACTTGTACAGTAGCATTCAAATGGACAACAACAACCTAAAGGCCATCTATTTGATGTCTGAACAACCAGCAGGTTTACATTTATTGTCATGAGTCTTGTCATGGGAGGCAGAACTGAGCGATTTCTCCTTAGATGAGCCAGCTGCAAAGTCAAAATTGACTATATTGTAAAAATTCATGAAAACAAAAATTTGCTTTTTGGTCTTAATTTAAGATTAGGGTTAGCAGTGTGGTTAGGGTTAGGGTTCAAATCAGATGTTATGACTTTGTGGCTGTGCCAGCTAGTGACCACTCTGCAGAGCTGCCTCCAGAACAAGATTCATGACGAAAAATACTAACCTGTCTATAACTAAAGGAAAGCCAATCATTTGTCCTACTTAAAATACTTTTTTTGTCGTGCCACTATCAAATCAAAGTGATTAGTAAGACGGAGAGACCTTGGCGATGTAGACCTATCCAGAGCTCTGAATGCCTGGTGGATTTGAAGCATGACAGTCCTGAGCTCCTATGGACATTTACTGAAGGGATTATTCCTGTGTCTAAGCCGGAAGCATGATTCCCATTATTCTGAGACAGCTTTTTGAAGGTGGATGTGTGACTGCAATGGCCTGTGTGGCTGGTTGACTGTCTCAGTGAACCTGATTGAAAATTAATTCCAGCCTGCCCCATTACACTACATCTAGAATAGTGCAAATCTAATTATAGGGGGATAATACTTCTGAGACCTTCTGTAATCTGTGACAAATGTGTGTGTTGCGTGCGCCCGTTTGCGTGTGTGCATGCGTGCGTGTGCAGGCAGGTGTGTGTATTCCATGACTGGAATTTCTCAAAAAAGTAATATTGGGAACCATCTGCCTGTGGTCCTCTGTAGCTCAGCTGGTAGAGCACAGCGCTTGTAATGCCAAGGTAGTGGGTTCGATCCCCGGGACCACCCATACAAAAAAATGTATGCACGCATGACTGTAAGTTGCTTTGGATAAAAGCGTCTGCTAATTATATTATATCAAGGGCTGATCAAATATTCTATTGCTACAGTGGATAGTGATAGGAGGGTTTTACTGTTTGGTGTCTCCTGAGACTCCTGAGAAGATGGGAAAATTAGGTGGGATATGATGACGTCAGGACTTACTCAGAGGTGATCTGAGCCACCAGTGGTAAGGAGGTGAAGCCGGAGCCCAGAAAGGTGTCTCTATACTGGCCCATCTTGATGGCACCTAGCCAGTCCTCCACAGAGGTGAAGGTGGTGAAGTCTGGAATGGAGCGGCCCAGCAGGGGCTGAGAAGGCCTGTGGAGAAAAAGAGAGGAGAGGAGAGGAGAGGGATGAAACAGTGAAAGGATGTGGTACAGGAGGGGGAAAACATGGGATAAGTGTTTCAGTAATATGGTTTATGACTGTGTGTGTTCTGTTGAGAGTTAAACCAGTTTTTACAGACGTACACTGCAGTGATGGTGGCCACAGCTTTGAGGCTGGTAGGGTTGCGGATCATCTTGTCCAGCGTATTGACGATGTCAGTGAATTTGGGCCGGGCGTTTCTGTCTTTCTGCCAGCAGTCCAGCATCAGCTGGTGTAGTGCTGTGGGGCAGTCCATGGGAGGGGGCAGCCGGTAGTCCTGCTCTATGGCATTGATCACCTGTACCAGGAGTAGAGGAGAAAGAGATGGCACATTTAAAGACAGGAAATGAAGGAAACAGAGAGGGACATAGTAGACCACACTGGGAGACTGAGGATCAAAATGACCCCCTGAGAACATAGACTACAGGGACGGACAAAGGTGTTGGTTTGAACACATTGTTTGGCAGCAAAACATTAAATATGAAACACAAATCCAATATGGAAAATGTCCATGGTGGTTCTAAACAATGGAAGAGTTCATAATCAATTGACAAAGGTTTTTGATGTGCTGTATGTTTCCAGACACCTGCAACTGAACTGCTTCCAGATTGGAGGTTTTAGAACACCATAACAGAGCAGTGGATGCCAGCTCTAATAGGATTTCATTGGCACACTTCCAATGATACCATCATATCCAATTTAAGCTTCCCTACAGCTTGTCACTGCTTGTATAAGACCTAGCTTTGTGTTTGTGTAAACACTAGCTGTAAGGAGGGGAAAGATGCACCAAATACAATGTGCAAAGTTTCGTTCAACTTCACCGAAATCTGCACTCTTAGTGACCCTGGTATCTTCACTCTACATCCAAATCTGTCAAACAAAGTTTACAGTAACATCCCATTTGATTAATCTATTTTCTCTATCCATACGATCCTCAGGAGATTTTCCCTGGTCTCTGTGTTGCAGCTGAACTTCAGGCAGAACAATGGATACCACAGCTGATAATTGCTTTAAAAAACAGGACGGTCTGAAGGGATTTTGATATATCTCCGTTCCATGATTTCTCTTTTATCAGAGAGAGGGTGGTCTCTCCAGACAGCCGTCAATCCCCGCACCACAAAAGAAGAGACAGCTTTACCATAGAAACCGGCAGGAGCCAGCTTCCTTGTGGGGGCTGGGGCCTGATTCCTTGTAAAATAGAAAAAAAGGAGAGAGTGGGAATTTAATTAACTATATACCGAGAGCTGGTCTGTGTTAAGAAATCTTCCCCCGCCCCCTGGCTATTCAACCTTGATTGCAGGAGAGTGGCAGGCGAGAGAGTTGCTGTCTGGGAATTCACTGTGGGAGATCTCGTTAGTGTCTGAGGCAGGACTGTTGCAAATGGGAAGCTGTGCTTTCAACAATAATCTTCTTTACCTATAATCCTCCAGTATCTCTAGATGGGTTACTCCAAGGACTTACAGAGAGATGCACTGGTGGAGACTGCAGTGCCACTACACTGGGTCTGAATAAAAACTGCACACAACTGCAGAGTCTGGCAGACAGACAGATCCACAACAATTCTGCAGTGTAAAATTTGTGATGGAGATTTAAGGAGACCAGTGTTAGTTTGACATAAAACGAGTATGAATATGAATTAGCGGACACCCATAATGACATCCTTAAATGAAATAATGAGCCCAGTATCATGGTATTCTCCGTTTTTTATTACAGTCACATACAGTGCACTCAGAAAGTATTCACACCCCTTTACTTTTTCCACATTTTGTTGTGTTACAGCCTGAATTTAAAATGGAATAAATTGAAATGTTGTGTCACTGGCCTACACACAATACCCCATAATGTCAAAGTGGAATTATGTTTTTATACATTTTTACAAATTAATAAAAAATTAAAAGCTGAAATGTCTTGAGTCAATAAGTATTCAACTACTTTGTTATGGCATGCCTAAATAAGTTCAGGAGTACAAATGTGCTTAACAAGTCACATAGTAAGTTGCATGGACTCACTCTGTGTGCAATAACAGTGTTTAACATGATTTTTGAACGACTACCTCATCTATGTACCCCACACATACAATTATATGTAAGGTCCCTCGGTCGAGCAGTGAATTTCAATCACAGATTCGACCACAAAGACCAGGGAGGTTTTCCATTGCCTCGCATAGAATATGGGTAAAAAAAAATGCAGATATTGAAGTTACTAATTACACTTTGGATGGTGTATCAATACACCCAGTCACTACAAAGATACAGGTGTCCTTCCTAACTCTGTTTCTGGAGAGGAAGGAAACTGCTCAGGGATTTCACCTTGAGGGCAATGGTGAATTTAAAATAGTTACAGAGTTGAATGGCTGTGATACAGTGGCTTGCGAAAGTATTCACCCCCCTTGGCATTTTTTCCTATTTTGTTGCCTTACAACCTGGAATTAAAATTGATTTTTGGGGTGTTTGTATCATTTGATTTACACAACATGCCTACCACTTTTTGTGAAACAAACAAGAAATAAGACAAAAAAACAGAAGACTTGAGGGATTTTTGCCCATTCTTCAAGGCAAAACTGCTCCAGCTCCTTTAAGTTGGATGGGTTCCGCTGGTGTACAGCAATCTTTAAGTCATACCACAGATTCTCAATTGGATTGAGGTCTGGGCTTTGACTAGGCCATCCCAAGACATTTAAATGTTTCCCCTTAAACCACTCGAGTGTTGCTTTAGCAGTATGCTTAGGGTCATTGTCCTGCTGGAAGGTGAACCTCCATCCCAGTCTCACATCTTTGGAAGACTGAAACAGGTTTCCCTCAAGAATTTCCCTGTATTTAGCGCCATCCATCATTCCTTCAATTCTGACCAGTTTCCCAGTCCCTGCCGATGAAAAACATGGTGTGGGACAGTGTTCTCGGGTGATGAGAGGTGTTGGGTTTGCGCCAGACATAGTGTTTTCCTTGATGGCCAAAAAGCTCAATTTTAGTCTCATCTGACCAGAGTACCTTCTTCCATATGTTTGGGGAGTCTCCCACATGGCTTTTGGCGAACACCAAACGTGTTTGCTTATTTTTTTCTTTAAGCAATGGTTTTTTTCTGGCCACCCTTCCGTTAAGCCCAGCTCTGTGGAGTGAATGGCTTAAAGTGGTCCTATGGACAGACACTCCAATATCCGCTGTGGAGCTTTGCAGCTCCTTCAGGGTTATCTTTGGTGTCTTTGTTGCCTCTCTGATTAATGCCCTCCTTGCCTGGTCCGTGAGTTTTGATGGGCGGCCCTCTCTTGGCAGGTTTGTTGTGGTGCCATATACTTTCCATTTTTTAATAATGGATTTAAAATGGTGCTCCGTGGGATGTTACAAGATTTAGATTTTATTTATAACCCAACCCTGATCTGTACTTCTCCACAACCTTGTCCCTGACCTGTTTGGAGAGCTCCTTGGTCTTCATGGTGCCACTTGCTTGGTGGTGCCCCTTGCTAAGTGGTGTTGCAGACTCTGGGGCCTTTCAGAACAGGTGTATTTATACTGAGATCATGTGACACTTAGATTGCACACAGGTGGACTTTATTTAACTAATTATGCGACTTTTGAAGGTAAGTGGTTGCACCAGATCTTATTTAGGGGCTTCATAGCAAATGGGGTGAATACATATGCACGCACCACTTTTCCGTTAGTAATTTTTAGAATTTTTTTAAACAAGTAATTTTGTTCATTTCACTTCACCAATTTGGACTATTTTGTGTATGTCCATTACATGAAATCCAAATAAAAATCCATTTAAATTACAGGTTGTAATGCAAAAAAATAGGAAAAACGCCAAGGGGGATGAATACTTTTGCAAGGCACTGTCGGAGAAAACTGAGGATGGCTCAACAGCATTGCAGTTACTTCACAATACTAACGTAAATGACAGAGTGAAAAGAAGGAAGCCTGTACAGAATAACAATATTCCAAAACATGCATCCTGTTTGCAATAAGGCACTAAAGTAAAACTGCAAAAAATGTGGCAAAGAAATGAACTTTATGTCCTGAGAGTTATAACAAAGCGTTGTTTGGGGCAAATCCAAAAACACATCACTGAGCACTACTCTTCATATTTTCAAGCATGGTGGTGGCTGCATCATGTTATGGGTATGCTTGGCATCGGCAAGGACTTGTTGTTTTTTTGGGATCAAAATAAACGGCATAGAGCTAAGCACAGGCAAAATCCTAGAGGAAAACCTGGTTCAGCCTGCTTTGAAACAGGCACTGGGAGACAAATTCACCTTTCAGCAGGACAATAACCTAAAACACAAGGCAAAATATACACTGGAGTTGCTTACCAAGATGACATTGAATGTTCCTGAGTGGCATAGTTACAGTTTTGACTTAAATTGGCTTGAAATTCTATGGCAAGACTTGAAAATGGCTGTCAAGCAATGATCAACAACCAACTTGACAGAGCTTGAAGAATCCAGGTGTGCAAAGCTCTTAGAGACTTACCCAGATAGACTAGCAGCTGTAATTGCTGCACATGTATTGACTCAGGGGTGTGAATACTTATGTAAATGAGATATTTCTGTATGTCATTTTCAATACATTTGCAAAAGTGTAAAAAAAACAACATGTTTTCACTTTGTCATTATGTGGTATTGTGTGCAGATGGGTGAGAAAAAACATATATTTATTCAATTTTGAATTCAGGCTGTAACACAACAAAATGTGGAATAAGGCAAGGGGTATGTATACTTTCTGAAGGCACTGTATCTGTTAATACTGAAAGGACAGGAAGTTGTATAATACTCACGTCTTGGTTGCTCATGTCCCAGTACGGCCGCTCGCCGAATGACATCACCTCCCACATGACGATGCCGTAGCTCCACACGTCGCTGGCTGAGGTGAACTTCCTGTAGGCAATGGCCTCAGGGGCTGTCCACCTCACCGGGATCTTCCCTCCCTGGGGGGAGAGAGAGAGAAATAGAGAGAGAGAAAAAGAGAGAGAGTGAGACAGAGACAAGGAAGAAAGAGCGACTTTTTTTAGACCGTAATCTTGTGTCTCTTTACACTGGCTGGTTTGACATGACATTTGACAGTTTCCTGCTTTTTAAGGCCAAGGCCAAACTGTCATAGCCAAAGACGAATTAGAACCATCTCTGTGAGCTTCCTCTTGCAAATACACTTCATTATCAAGAACAGAGCTTTGCTGAAATCACCCCACCAATCTAAGTATTTATTCAAAACCTACAATCTCCATATCAAAAACATATGCAGCGGACTTAAAACCAAACTATTTATATGTCATTATAAACATTCTTTTGAAAAACATATTTTTTAAATCACATGCTGACTATATAAATCTATTGATGTATTTGGGAAAAAAGATTAGTGGTATATGTGTAATGAGTGAGTGTACCAACAACACTGGCTCACCATGCAATTATTTTCATTAACATTGATG